CACTGTAAGAAGGGTACACTATTTACACTGTAAGAAGGTAATATATTTACACTGTAAGAAGGTACATTATTTACACTGTAAGAAGGCTAATTATTTACACTGTAAGAAGGTACACTATTTACACTGTAAGAAGGTACATTATTTACACTGTAAGAAGGTACACTATTTACACTGTAAGAAGGTACATTATTTACACTGTAAGAAGGTACACTATTTACACTGTAAGAAGGTACATTATTTACACTGTAAGAAGGTACACTATTTACACTGTAAGAAGGTACATTATTTACACTGTAAGAAGGTACATTATTTACACTGTGAGTAGTGCACATTATTTACACTGTAAGAAGGTGTACATTATTTACACTGTAAGAAGGCATATCTACACTGTAAGAAGGCATATTATTTACACTGTAAGAAGGTACATTACCACACTGTACATAGTGCGCACACTATTTACACTGTAAGAAGGCACATTACCCACTGTAAGAAGGTACACTATTTATTGTAAGAAGGTACATTATTTACACTGTAAGAAGGTACACTATTTACACTGTAAGAAGTACATTACTCACACTGTAAGAAGGTACACTATTTACACTGTAAGAAGGTACATTATTTACACTGTAAGAAGGTACACTATTTACACTGTGAAGAAGGTACATTATTTACACTGTAAGAAGTTACACTATTTATTTACACTGTAAGAAGGCACATTATTTACACTGTAAGAAGGCACATTACCTACACTGTGAAGGTGACACTATTTACACTGTGTTAGGGGTTGCACATTACCTACACTGTAAGAAGGTACACTATTTACACTGTAAGAAGGCACATTATTTACACTGTAAGAAGGTACATTATTTACACTGTAAGAAGGTACACAACTATTTACACTGTAAGAAGGTACATTACCTACACTGTAAGAAGGCACACTATTTACACTGTAAGAAGGTACATTATTTACACTGTAAGAAGGTACACTATTTACACTGTAAGAAGGTACATTACTCATTAACTGTAAGAAGGTACATTATTTACACTGTAAGAAGGTACATTATTTACACTGTAAGAAGGTACACTATTTACACTGTAAGAAGGTACATTATTTACACTTGCAAGAAGGTACACTTATTTACACTGTAAGAAGGTACATTATTTACACTGTAAGAAGGTATTACCTACACTGAAGAAGGTACAATTTACACTGTAAGAAGGTACACTATTTACACTGTAAGAAGGTACATTATTTACACTGTAAGAAGGTACACTATTTATTAACTGTAAGAAGGTACATTATTTACACTGTAAGTAGGAGTCAATTATTTATACCTGAAGAAGGTACATTATTTACACTGTAAGAAGGTACACTATTTACACTGTAAGAAGGTACATTATTTACACTGTAAGAAGGTACATTACCTACACTGTAAGAAGGTACACTATTTACACTGTAAGAAGGTACATTACCTACACTGTAAGAAGGTACACTATTTACACTGTAAGAAGGTTATTATTATTTACACTGTAAGAAGGTACATTATTTACACTGTAAGAAGGTACACTATTTACACTGTAAGAAGGTACATTACCTACACTGTAAGAAGGTACACTATTTACACTGTAAGAAGGTACATTACCTACACTGTAAGAAGGGTACAATTATTTACACTGTAAGAAGGTACATTACCTACACTGTGTAAGGTGGTACATTATTTACACTGTAAGAAGGTGCACATTTACACTGTAAGAAGGTACATTATTTACACTGTAAGTAGGTACATTATTTACACTGTAAGAAAACATTATTTACACTGTAAGAAGGTAAATTATTTACACTGTAAGAAGGTACATTATCTACACTGTAAGGTAGTACATTATTTACACTGTAAGAAGGTAACACTATTTACACTGTAAGAAGGTACATTATTTACACTGTAAGAAGGTACTTATTTACACTGTGATAGTAATTTATTTACACTGTAAGAAGGTACACTATTTACACTGTAAGAAGGTACACATTTACACTGTAAGAAGGTACACTATTTACACTGTAAGAAGGTACATTATTTACACTGAGGTACACATTTTCACTGAAAGAAGGTACACTATTTACGCGTGTTACATTATTTACACTGTAAGAAGGTGCTTATTGCATGTAAGAAGGCATTACCACACTGTAAGAAGGTACATTATTTACACTGTAAGAAGGTACATTACTTACACTGAAGAAGGTGCATTATTTATACTGTAAGAAGGTACATTATTTACTGTAGAAGGTATATTATTTATACTGTAAATGGTACATTATTTACACTGTAAAGGTACATTTTTTGCACTGTGTAGGTACATTATTTACTGTAAGAAGGTACATTATTTATCAAGAATTTACATTATTTACACTGTAAGAATAATTATTTACACTGTAAAGAAGGTAATATTTAATTGTAAGAGGTACATTATTTACGGGGGTTTTTTGTTGGTGTGGTTTTTTTGGCAGTTTTGTGCTAACCTCATTATGGGTAGTGTCAGACAATTCCTAAATATATTGTTTGAAGCATCGTCATTTGTATACAGTATTACAATAACTGCTTATGTGTAATTGGTAATTGCCATCAAGAGGAGAGGGGCAATATACCACCATTATGTACCTCTATTATGCTGGAGTGTTTTATAATATCTGTCCTCACATAAGAGAAACATTGTTCACCAATAAGTGGTGTAGTTCTCACATTAGCCGCCCAGGTTTTTAGTTATAAAGAATTGAAATTTGAATGGTAAAACTAAGATTCTATGGTCATGGGTGGAATCGCCCTATAAAAAGATTTCAGTAATGTTAGGCATTTGTCTATAAAGGATCTAGGGTATTTAAGGTTCAAGCCAATATTATAGATATATTTATATTCCTCATCAATGAATTCTGCTGCAAATTCTCAAAGCACGAAACATTGGATGAAAAATATTTGACTGTTTGACTATTATGGTGGGGTAGAATAATAGTGAATGTATGGAACACATTAGTAGGTTTTATAAATTTTTGAACTTAGAAGTACCTATTCTGTGGACTTACAGTCTAGGAATGGCGCTTCATGGTGCTTGGTTTAATCATGGTGAATTTGATCGAGGGGGCTGTTATTAAGTTGTGGAAGAAAGCTTTTAGGTACTATTTAAATAGAGACATATTACATCATCAACATATTTAAATCAGACTGTAGGTGGTAAAATATTATTTAATGTTCTTTTCAAAGATTCCATATATAGGTTGCTTAACACTGGTGAGAGGGATTACCCTTGCCATACCAAATTTTTGGAGCATAATATCTCCATTGAATTCAAATTTATAATCCTTACATAGTTTGATGTGTTTCATGGTCGTTTTGAGACGGCAATGAAATATTTTCTAGTGAATCATGAGGGAACCCAGTAAATCATCAACTGGGACCTTGTAAAGAGTGATGTTTTACCTAAAACTGGGACCAGTTAAAATGGTAATTAATGTGTGTTATTGGAGGGATGAAGCTCAGACAAAGACAAAAAAGCTGTTTATAAAGCCTGAGTGATTGGAAAAAGTCTGTAAGCTTTTATCCTTGTGGTTATATATAGTATATATATATATATATATATATATGTATATATATATATATATATATATATATATATATATATGTATATATATATTGTGTCAGTTCCAAGGTGTCTTATAGTTGTGTCTTGTAAAGCACGGGGTTAACAGAAATAACAGGCTTATGGAGAAAATAGGTTTAGGTGGCAGATTACTCGTAATCGAGAGAAAATTTAGTAGTTAGCCTAACACAAATGTGATAGCACAGTTCTAAATTAAATGTTATATCTATATCTAATAATGAACCAGTAAATGTAACACTTTAATTTGAAAAAATATGAATATATAACTTGATGGGGGGAGAAGGTATTTGTGAGGTTGATAACATCGGTATTTCATAGGGTTATCCTTTCTTTACAATCATCTGGGAATGCGTATCACCAGATCGGCTTCTTGGAGATATTCTTTTACCATATTCACAGTTAATACCTTACAAAATGGAGAAATAGTATGGAAAATCATGCTAGCAAATAAGCGTTATTACAAATATCGCTTTCATTCATAAATCATGAGTAAATTCGTAATGTCAAACACGATTATAGAAGAATCATATATATATATATATATATATATATATATATATATATATATATATATATATATATATATATATATATATATATATATATATATATATATATATATATATATATATATATATATATATATATATATATATATATATATATATATATATATATATATATATATATCAGTATACTGTACAATAAACATAAAACTAAATATTTTCATTACCAATAATTCACAAAATCATTAAATGAATCAAAATGAAATAAATAAATAAATAAAATCTAACCTTAAATTTTTGTGTTTGTTGTGGATTTTCTCCCTTTTGTCCTTCCTGTTGAGTTTTGTACTTGATCCATCAGAGGTCTCCTTTAGGGCCGTGTTGGCTGCTGGGTCCTGATCCCAGTAACTCCCATCTGTGGCACCTCTTTCCCCAGCGTCGTCTCTCGTCGACGTCTCCTCGTACGCGACACTTTCGGCTTCGTAACTGTCACGGACTTGTACTACGTTCTCACGGCCAAAGTCGCCGTCGTCCGGGCACAGACGGGGCGACCGCTGCATTGGTGCACTATCCTCCGACGCATTGTTGGGTTCACTCTGCAAGCTGCCATCGGCGGCGTCCATTGGCTCGACCTCGATGTCGATGCCGTCGAAGAGGATCATGTCGAACGCTTGCTTGAGGATGTCCTCCTTGTGTGCGGGTTCACTACCCGTAGAATCGCCGGCCGTCGCATCGCCGTTTCCCGCTAATTTTCTACCACTACAGGTGTTTGGCACGTCCGCGTCAGACTCGTCGGATATTGGCGAATACGCCGACTGTTCCGAGTTTTGTCGCAGCATTGTCTTCGCCGGCCCGGAGACACCCGGCACGGTCTCTTGAGTGCCGCGTTCTGCCGCCTGTTGAGACCCGGCGTTGACGTATTTACCGCTTCTACTCGACGTCACCGGGTGCTGGGGGGAGCCGATGGGGGGGTCGGCGGGGTAGTGTCTCCGACTTCCTTTGTGACTCTGACTAGGTATCTGATGATAATTTTGCCGTTGATTACTATTGCGTGGATTTACGCCCGGTTGACGGAGGTGAGATTGCGACGACGCCGAATTGCGTCCGCCTTGTCCTCGAGGATTCGGCGTTCTGTGTAACCCCAGCTGAGAGGAGCCCGCGTCATGAGGGGACGACGCCCGGGGCACCATCACGAGGCCAGAGGGTTGCTGGCCGTTACCCGCAGGCACCGGAGACTCTCTCGCGCCGAGGTTCCCGTGTTGTTGTTGGAGGTAATTATGCGGCAGTACCATCTGGGAACTGTCGAGGCCGCTGACGTTCACTCTGGAATTTGTAATGAGCGCCGGCACCACGAGGGCATTCCCGATGCCGGGAACCATCCGATTCATCCCGATGTTCGGCAGGGGAGTGATGTTCATGGTTCCCGACACGGGGGGCTGATCGACGGCCTTTCTACTCCCTCTGGAAGACTTGTTCATAGTCTGTGAATAAGTGTTACTCTGCGAAGCACTACCACAACTCTGGTCTGTCATGCGGGAAGATATATCCATGAAGTCCGGCAGCTGGAGCATCCCGTCAATATTTAAGTCAGAGGGAAGAGAGGATGAAGAATTACCAGGTACACTGTTGAGTGATGAAGGCACTGGACCCTGGGAAGCTGTTGAGTAAGGCACGGAGGGCGAGGTTGCATAGAGGCCTTGGTGTTGAGGCGCCCGGGACCCCTCGCGTCCCCTCTTCTTTTTTAATATATTCTCCCGGATGACGTCGCGCGTGTTGACCGGGGCGGAGCGACCGTTGTGATCACTCTGCCGTTGGGGCGTGGCGTTGGGTTTACCGCGAGACGCCTGCTGCCGTCTGCCCTTGCGCGAAATGATGTCGTTCGCTCCGTCAAACTGCGGGATGACAAAGTCTTCCGCGTCGCTATAATCGCTATCGCTATAACTATACTCTATCACTGTCTCGCCCGCACCACACTTAGTTCTGGCCATACCGTGCGACGCCGACCTCCGAGACACAGTACGGGGAGGCGGCTTCGCCACTCTGTGTTGCGCTTTTTCCAATATCACAGCGTTGTGTTTTGAGGTCTGGGCACTACCAAAAGGCACAAAGGTTTCTCCCACAACAATATTCTTAGTCCTTACAGAAGGCGTATACTTGTGGTGATGGTCAGCGGGACCATCCAGTTGAGGCAGCAGGAATGATGGTTGACCTTCCATATCTTCACAGTCGCCGTCGTCTTTCTTCCTGAAATACGTGTCAATTATTAAAATAAATACCGTACGTCACAAATTGAGATAAAAATACTCAAAACAATTTACAAATAAAAGATAATTAAAAGCAAAATACAGAACAAATTTGGAAATTAAAATCAAAATGTTTCAGAAATAAAAAAATTAAAATAAGTCAGAAATTAAATACAATTTCAGAGAGAGAGAGAGAGAGAGAGAGAGAGAGAGGATAATAAAATATTAAAAGTGTCATCCCCCATAGTGAAGGGATTAATCAGTTAATGTACACACTACACACACAGGCATCAACGGAGAATAAAAACCATGGATAGAATTGATGTCAGCGAGCCTCACCAAGTAAACGTGTCGTGATGAGCCTCTCTGAGAATAACGTCAAGACTCACACACACTCGTACAGTTCACCTCATGTAACACAACGTGGAATAAGGTACAGTGAAACCTCTATATAATGGACTTCTCTCTGTATATAGTTGGGGGTTCCACACCTAATGAACCCTCGATATAATGGACCTTCATCTCTATAAAGTACGTTATATGGGGGTTCCACATCTAATGAACCCTCGATATAATGGACCTTTATCTCTATATAGTACATTATATGGGGGTTCCACATCTAATGAACCCTCGATATAATGGACCTTCCTCTCTATATAGTTCACTAGATAGCGGCCTCATTTAATTACTTCCGTCTACGACCCCTATCAACAGTGTGTCATGGGGTGGCTGCCACGACAGACGTGTACCGCATCACCGATCAGGACTTACTTTACATTCTGGCCCCCTGGTGGATTCTCTGGCTTCTCCTCTCTGTCTCTTTTCTCTTCTTCGTCGACGGGCAGTAAGGAGTCCCATATTCGCTGAGTCATCTCCTCTGTGTCATCCTCCTCGTCATCACCCTGGGCTGGGTTCTGGCTTGGGGTCATCGTAGACAGACCTGTGATGGCGTGAATTCAGAATATTAATCAGTAACCAATCAGGAAATAAACTCAATGTTCTATCACTTAACCCACCTCCTGACCCCAATAACTTACCACACCTTCTGACCCCAATAACTAACATACCTTCTGACCCCAATAACTAACCACACCTTCTGACCCCAATAACTAACACCCCAATAACCTTCTGACCCCAATACCCCAATAACTAACCACACCTTCTGACCCCATGACCTTCTCCCCAATAACTAACCACAATGACCTCAATAACTAACCCCACCTCCTGACCCCAATAACTAACCACACCTTCTGACCCCAATAACTAACCCCACCTCCTGACCCCAATAACTAACCACATCTTCCCCTGACCCCAATACTAACCCGAGGACCGTTGGGTAGAAAGGACCGCGTCGCATTCTTCCGGGGACACCAACTGCGAACCATCGGCCAAACCCGCCATCACGTTTAGCAATTCCTCGTCCGCTGAATCCACTGTAGGGGGGGAGGGTCAATTACTCATCCACATAAACAGTAAATGTATAGAAAAGCAGTATGAGTTATTATACATATGGATACAGCATGTATAGAACAGTACCGCTTATTCATTATACATACATAGACCCACAGGTTCTTACGGCCTATGCGATGAAAGTCGGCCTCGTTTAACATTCTAACTTCCGGGAAAAAAAATAGTGTCCCCCAGTCTAGCAGTCTATCCCTTCACTGTTAAATTTACTAATAACAGAATCACATTGTTTGATAAATACAGTATAATATTATTTTGCTCGTTATAACAGACGGTTGGTATTCACAGGGGTACCACTAATTTTAAACACACAGAGGTACAGACAATCAGAACTTTTAACTTATCTGTTTGAATTCTACCTTACACCTCATACCTCCAGACAGACCTCGACAGGAAGATAAAAACAAAGGCTCTGGATTATTTCACAGCCAATAAACGACCAACAGATAATCAAAAGTAAACGATCTCTGCCTCGTGACTCACTCCACTGGGACGCCGTTTGCTGCGTGAGACTCAGTATAAGTTCCTCGTCAACGTGGGAGGTTTCTAAAGCTTCGTCCGTCATCTGCCGTGCTCCGATGTCTGCTTCCTCTACCTGGAATATAAACAAGACCGTCAACTGATATCACAGAGGTAATTAAATTCTCCTCTGTAATTCTATACGATTATCACGACACCACAAAGGTATTATAAATTCTTTGTAAAAATATATATATGGTAACACTATTCTACTAAGGTTTTGAATTCTCTTCATAATCCTATACTAACAACAAACAAAACCTAACCTAAAACTTAAGCTAAACCAATCAAACCAAACCTGCCCTAACCTAAACCAATTCTATGCTACCCTAACCTATCCTAAAATATTATATCCTAACCAATCCTAACCTAAACTAACCTATTGTACCCTAACCTATCCTACCCTAAAGTAACCTACCCTACCCTAAGTAACTAACCATCGACACCTCAGCCTCAGCGATGGCTTCGGGAGCGGTGGCCGGGCCGAGGGTAGAGTCGTCGGGGGTGACGGCCGCCAGAGACACGCCAGGCAGCGGTTCTTGACTGGGCTCGGGCGACATATTTTTCTGTAAACGGAGGAGGAAAACAGTACAGTACATCGAGCGCTTGTGATGATTAAGGTTAGAGAGAGAGAGAGACAGAGAGAGAGAGAAACATAATACAATAATTAAAAAATTAATAAATTCTCCCGTATAGAAAAAAATTCCGGAGATATTTACCAACACAGCGGTGACTTTCTCCTTCATTATGGACCTATAGAAGAGCTCCGAGTCTGAGGCCGTGACGTTGGTCCTGGGGGGGGAACTGGGCGGCTTGAGGTCATCTTCAGAACCCCCGCGCTCTCGACGCCTCTCCATCTCGTCCTCCCAGATATACGACAGCCCGGGATTCGTCGCCGTTCCGCCTATGAGGATAGAGTTAAATACGAACTCAGGATTAAAACCACGGTGCCTTAATCACGTGTTTATGGGTATCTACCAGCCTAGGGTTCGTTGCTAGTCCACCCATCTTTAGCCCCAATAATAAATAGTCTCAACCTCTGACACACATTAACCCCAGACACAAGTGACGTCCCGTTCTTACTTCCAATCTGCAGTCTATTGAGGATGTCCGAAGATAAGCCGTCCACCTCTAGCTCACTTGTGGCCGTTCTGGAGACTATTTCGGGCAACCACAGGTGCTGCGGTACACTCTCTCTCGTCCATACCGTGGTGCTCGGCCGCAAGGAGGTGTTGATGCCGGCTGGGCCTTGCGATGACGGCGCGGTGGCTGTTTCTCCCGATGCACCAGCAGGGGAAGGGGCCGCGTGTTCCTCTAATCCTTCAGTACCTGTAGATGGTTAAATCACTGACGGTTAAGTGAGTCCCAGTGAGTCCTAACCTAACTTAACCTAATCTAACCTAATGTAACTTAGTGTAAAAACTTACCCTAACCTAATGTAGCTTAATGTTTATTTACCCCAAGTCGCTCGGTTACTTGTGAAAGGAACGCCTCATGATACCTTGAATGATGCAGGAACATAAGTTATAACACTGTCCCCTTCCTTCACCTTGTACCACACCCTTGACCTTGTACCACCACACCCTCTTACCCTGCACCACACCCTTCACCTTGTACCACACCCTTGACCTTGTACCACCACACCCTCTTACCCTGTACCACACCCTTGACCTTGTACCACACACCCTTGACCCTGCACCACCACACCCTCTTACCCTGCACCACACCCTTCACCTTGTACCACACCCTTGACCTTGTACCACCACACCCTCTTACCCTGTACCACACCCCTTGACCTGTACCACACACCCTTGACCCTGCACCAACACACCTGCACCCCTTCACCTTGTACCACACACCCTTGACCTGCACCACCACACCCTCTTACCCTGCACCACACCCTGCACCACCACACCCTACCCCACCACACCCTCACCTTGTACCACACACCCTTGCACCACACACCCTGCACCACACCCTTGTACCCTGACCCTGCACCACACCCTTGACCCTGTACCACACACCCTTGACCCTGCACCACCACACCCTCTTACCTTGTGACCTTCTGAACCTGCAGGTTGCCAGATGGATCATGTTCATGCCGTGTAGATTATGGTCCATTAGGAACTGCAACACATACGGTACATGAGACTCGTGTGGTTGGTACACCTTGTTGTTGATGACCCCGTTCTGCGATTATAAAAGGTCACCGTTACAGAGGTCATGATCGACGACGCCGGCCTCAAAAAAATAATAATAAAGGGAGAATTCGTTAATCAAAATATGTCCGGTCACCACAGAGATAATAAAATACTAAAGTCAAATGAGATTCTAAACAAGGCAGTTCAGTAGTGCATCTAAATCTTGTGTCTATTAGAGGGTTACTGTGATGGGGGGGGATGGGGAAGGAAGGGTGATAGGGAGGAAAGGGGAGAAATAGGCAGTGAGAGGAGGGAGAGGTGACAGTAGGAACAACCACAGTAACAAGAGCTGACTGGGCACATCACTATATCATTACTTCCACCTTACAACTCTTAGGTGTAAATTCATATCACTATCACCACCATACATAAATCTGTTTCACCATCATCATACACAACCACTATCATCATTATACAGGGGTCCTCATTATCCGGGGTTAATTGGAGCCGGTAAAACGCCTCTGATAATGACTCCACATAAAGCGGTGAATTAATACCATAAGAAATAATGTAAATAGATCAGATTGTTACCATGACACTGTACAAGGCATTCACAAATGTTCAGGTTATATTTGAACAATTATTTACCTTAGAAACATTTGTTAAACAATTGATAACATTATTTAATTTAATAAGTTATTTAACGTCCTTATAGTTCATTGGGGGTCGGTGTGTTGGGGCAACGCAGGGTGTGCCAACAGTTGCTGGTGCACACTAGTGGTTTAGGAACACTAAATACTTATTATAATGTTTTAAAAATAAATAATGTTAACATAATAAAATATTTTTATTTACTTAGCTTCAAAGATGGAGATGATTAGCTTGACTGAGGAGGACGTTGGGGGGGAAGGAGGATTAGTTGGAGGATGAAGAAGAAACAGTACTCGGTGGATTGTCAACTCCCACTCACCAAATCACTTCTAATTTTACAGCTATAATATAGTTAGTGTGCTTCCTTTTGAGTGCTGCACCACCCTGTTTGGGATGTGAACTCATGGCTACAAAAATTATAAACTAACCCACCACAAGATGCACAAAAACACACAACAAAGACAAGAGTAAACAACAATGGCGCAGGGACATGTGTCTGCATGTATGACGCCAGGAGGAGGAGGAGGAGGAGGAGGAAATTTCAAACACTTCAGCTAAAAATCCGTAAATTTTATCGGGAGTTTTTGAGTAGGTAGTAGGCAGCTACCAAACAGGGAGGTACTACCGCCTGGGAAGATATTGGAAGCATAATGTGTTGTCTAATGGTGGACCCTGCTGCCATATGTGACCAAGTCCCAGGTTGATGATATGACTTTCTGCCTCATTTACACACACCTGCAGGGTCTCAATTGTTTCTCAATCTTGATTTTTTTTCATTTTTGCATTTCTTTATGGTTCTTTATTATTATTGTAGTTGTTGTTGTTGTTGTTGCTGTTACTATTATTATTATTATTATTATTATTATTATTATTATTATTATTATTATTATTATTATTACATTTTTGCCCCCCAGGCCCCGATGTGGGTCAGTGACCTGTGCCTGCGTGGGCTAATCCCAGTAAAAAGAAAACAAAACAAAAAACAACTTAAACGCGAGGACTGTTAGTGTGGACGGTCACAAAAAGTTGACCACTTAACTGTGAAACTGTGGATAGTGATTACTCTTATAATGAGCACCTCCTGTACATGCATCACCACACATACACCCAAATCAGTCATCATCATACACAACCAACATCATCCTTAACTCACCATACCTTACTACATTATCACCACCACATCACCATCAATCACCACACCCACCACACACCCAAATCAGTCATCATCATACACAACCAACATCACTATCATCATACCTTACTACATCATCACCATACACAATACCCACCTGGAGAAGCTCTGCGGCCTTTTTCACAATAAGAGGATTATAGAAAAAGATCTTGAGAAACTGGTGCTCCTTGGAATGATAGCCATAGAACGGTCTGAAACAAGCCAGAAAATTAACGTTAGATTAATATTGAGTCTAGGGTGGGGGGGTGGGGGTTTAATACGGGGTGGTGCGTGAGTTACTTTACCGAGAATGATTATACAGGGTGATGCAATAGTTACTTTACTGAGAAATTTTGTCATTATACAGGGTGATGCACCAAACTTCACCAGGAATAAACTTAAGAGTACAGTCACCCAAAAAAGGCCTGTTGCGAACCACGATTCAGACTCGTGAACCCGAAGCAGTAGACACTGATACATTACTGTATTCTGTCCATAAATGCTTCGGATTCAAGACTCTGAATCCCGGGGTTCATGGTTCACGACAGGACTTTTTTGGGTGACTGTACATACAACAACAGGTAACATAGATAAAACCACCGACTGACTTGACCCAAACATCGGCCGCACCGTGCGATAACTTACATCCCCGAGACTGGCGTGACTTTATAAACGTGCTGCGCGTTGGAGGTGGCATGGCCCTGGGCGATGTTGATGGCCCTGTCCACGCCAGCGGCCAGGGTATAGGGAAGGCGGGTGAGCGGCTCCGATCCATCGTACGGGACCAGAATGTACGGAAAAACTCCATGGATGTGTAGACAGGTTTTTTGTCCTATGGGGTAGGGAGTAAGGGAGAGATATTAGCTTAAAATGACCTTTGAATATGACAGCATAATGGACAGTAATGAAATAAAGTATCTGGATAGATTTTAGACTTTGAACTGTTGGGGTGAGTCCTAACCTAACCAAACCTACCATTAACCTAACCTAACCAAACCTACCATTAACCTAACCTAACCAAACCTACCATAAACCTAACCTAACCAAACCTACCATTAACCTAACCTAACCAAACCTACCATTAACCTAACCTAACCAAACCTACCATTAACCTAACCTAACCAAACCTACCATTAACCTAACCTAACCAAACCTACCATTAACCCAACCTAACCAAACCTACCATTAACCTAACTGTAACCAAACCTACTAATAACCCAACCAAACCCACTATTAACTTGCAGAACTTAACCAAACCCACCATTAACCTAACCTAACCAAACTACCATTAACCTAACCTAACCAAACCCAATACCATTAACTCCAACCAAACCTACCATTAACCCAACCTAACCAAACCCACCATTAACCCAACCTAACCAAACCTACCATTAACCTAACCTAACCAAACCTACCATTAACCCAACTCAACCAAACCCACCATTAACCCAACCAAACCTACCATTAACCTAACCTAACCAAACCTACCATTAACCTAACCTAACCAAACCTACCATTAACCTAACCAAACCTACCATTAACCTAACTTAACCAAACCTACCATTACCCTAACTTAACCAAACATTAACCTACTCTAACAAAACATAAAACATACCAACTAATAAATTATAAGCCAGTAAACCTCGACTCAATAACTCTGGAATTTGTGTTCGAGTAAATACAAGAAAGGTATTAGGAGGCGTGGGGAAGGGGTACAAGAGAAGGGTATGAGGAAGGGGGTGTTGGGAAGGGGGTATGGGGAAGGGGGTATGGGGAAGGGGGTATGGGGAAGGGGGTAAGGTAGAGGAACAACAGAAAGGGGCAGAAGGAAAGGCTGTAAACAATGGGTAAGAGAAGTGGGTATGAAGAAAAGGGAGGGGGGAAAGGGGTGGAGGGGGGCACCACAGGGAAAGGGGTGGAAGGGGGCACCACACACAAGAGTCCAAGACCCGAGACGTACCTGTGGGAGTGGCACCGAAGATACGTAAAACTGGAAGGCGTTTTATAGGAGCGCCTCGGAAATTAGAGTACTGGGGGTCGAGACCATTGATGGGCGTCCCCTGATAGTGGTCGACTGATACTATGCGCAGGGAAAACATCCTTAGCCTGGCCACAACATGTGTAGAAAAGTCATCATTGAAGACGAACAACCTGGGAAAAAAAATTGGGGATTAGACAGAGATAATAAACACGCGTAACCTAACTAAACAAATTGATATGGGTAAGTGTGTGTGTGTGTGTGTGTGTGTGTGTGTGTGTGTGTGTGTGTGTGTGTGTGTGTGTGTGTAGACCATAAAACAGACAGGGGTCATAAATATAATAAACAACATTACTTTTATTTTTTTGAGACCAAGTACAGTAGGGTATGCTATAACGAACGGATCCTACTACGAATATTCCTATAACGAACGGTTATACCTATAAAATTGATAATGCTATAACGAACGAAACTCCTACAACGATCATTATAAATTTTTTTTTTTTTTTACTAATTTATTGTTTCTGTATTACAAGTATTAATGATATTCTTTATTTAAAGGGTTTAGATGCATATTTATGCACTTTTTTACAATTTTTACAATTTAATATTATATTTTTCAGTGTTAAGTGGTTGTATTTGGGGGCCTGGAACGGATTAATCCTATAACGAACGAATGCTATAACGTACAAGGTTCTAGAACCAATTAGATTCGTTATAGCATACCCCACTGTAAATTATATTCCTTTCTAGAAAATAAAAATAAACGAGCATTTATAACCGTACATAATATAATTGGTAAAACGGTCGTCACATCTTAAAAAAAAAAAGACAGTATCACATGACATCAACAAGGAATAAAAAACCCTTGAGAAAATAACTGAGAAAATAATGTCCCAACTTCACTAAACTCAGTTGCTACCTGACCTAGCTTGGAGAAGGACGTGCCCCTAAGTGCTCGCGTTAGTGACCAGAGGAAATGGCCGCCTTGGACCGTTGTTTTGTGGGGGAAGAGGAGCGGAGTGTGAGAAAAGACGACCTCCTAGCCACTCTGTTAAGTCAGCTGGGGCAGTTGAGGAGTGAGATGGACGCTCTAAAGGGGGAGAACGAAGCCCTCAGGACTGAACTCCTTCAGGTAGGTGTCCTGCCTAGCAGGACGCCTGCAAAGGAGGAGCAGGCGTGGAGAGTGGTTGTCTCCAACGGGACTAGGGTCAGACTCAGGAAGCTGACCAGGGTGTGGAGTGCAGTAACCCCTACCAGGTGTTGGAGGAAGCTGGCGAGGAAGAGGAGATGCAGGACGAGGAAAAGAAGAGGCAGGACGGTGTGGTGCCAGGAGAGAAAAGGGCAGTTGTTCAGACCCTGCCCAGTGGTAAGGTCGTGGTAGTTGGGGACAGCCAGGTGAGATTTTTAGATAGGACTTTTTGTGCAAGAGATAGGAAACGTAGGACTAGGGTGTGTTTTCCTGGGGCTGGGATAGGGCATGTAGCTGAGAGGATAGATAGGGTTTTGTCAGGGGAGGGTACCAAGCCAGTAGTGTGTCTTAGTGTAGGGGGTAACGACATGGGAAGGGTTAGGAGTGAGGAACTTTTCAAGAGGTAAAGGGAGGCGCTGGGGAAGGTTAAAGATAGGGGAGGGATCCTGATAGTATGTGGTGTCTTGCCTAGAAGAGGGGTTGGTCGTGAATGGCTGTCCAGGGCAATTGCTATAAATTGCCGACTGGAAAAACATTGTGCAAACAATGGTTGGGCATTCATTGATAGCTGGCAACGATTCTATGGCAACGACTACCTGTACAGTCGCGACGGAGTACACTTGTCTCGTGCGGGGGTAAAGACGTTGTCTGCATCTCTGGAGAGTGAAATTGTCACTCCAAAGGGGGGGTTTCGCCAGTAGAGAGAGGTCGGAGTAAGTGGGAGTCAAAAGACAAGCAGGTCCTGGGAAGTAAAATTGGTTACTCAGGACAAGGGGTAAAACAGGACCAGGGAAGGGTAGGTTTAAATGTACAGTGACCCCTCGTTTAACGAACGCCTCGGTTAATGAAATTTCGGCTAACGAACTGCCTTCCATAAGGATCTTCAATTCGGTTAACGAACAAAAATTCGGTTAACGAATTTCTTACGAACCGACCTCAACATGTTTTCGCTTGCACTGACCGGGCAACCAGCTTTAGTATCAGTCCGCCAATACATTAATCGGTTCTAGGGCTTAAATTCCTTACTATTTTAGTAAATATCAAGAAGTTTATACTATTCAATAATTTTAAAAGTTTAATATTCAATTTTTTAGTCATTTTAACAATTATTGAACATAATTGAAGGTAAAGAAACTAGTTTCTGGCACGCCATCCAGCGTCAGTCTCTTGTGTCTTTTCAGGAGGCAACATCTTGCTTGAGACTCTCTTCAACTAAATGCTTTTTTTCTGTGTTTCCAAGCAAATTATTGGTCATTTTGAAATTTATTTTACATATTGACAATATATAATGCAGTGCAGTGTTGATTTAAAGAAAATAATCTTGAATTACACCAAGAGAACTAAAATTTTATGGGTGAAATGGCACCATGGGGTGACTTCTCTTCCACCCCAATGCCTTCTCTTCTCCCTTCTCCTCCTCCACCTCCCATTTCAAAAGCACATCATCATCATCATCCAGGAGCCTTCTACATACACACCTCAAAGTAAGTGAACTTTTCTACCATTTTTGTTGAATTTAGGAAATTTTCGGTGAGCTGGAACCAATTACCCAAAAACCCATTGAAACAATGGTTTCGGTTAACGAACTTTTCGGTAAACAAACGACCTTCTGGAACGGATTGAGTTCTAAGAAAGGGTC